AGAAGGGGGGAAGCTAGAACCCGGCAGATGGAGAAGAAGGGCATTCTCAGCTACCCCTGCTTTTCTCCTCTTCTGAAGGAAGCCTTGGGGATGTCCAGTCTGGCAAATGCACGATCATGTAATAATAATAATAGAGCTTTTACTCTGTGCTAAGCACTTCATATAATCTCATTTCACATATTAGAATACAGGTTCAGGGAGACAAAATATCTTGTTCAAATTTACACATCCGGTCTGTGTTAGAGCTGGAATGTAGCCTGGTTAGAAGTGAATGCCAGTATTATAGTCATTGTGTAACAGTTTTAAATGTACCACTTTGACGGTCCATATGGCATGGTCCAGTTAAGAGAGACACAAGTGACAGAAGCCAGTCTGACTCTCGGACTCGTAGCACACCTGTGTGCTCACTTTCAGTTCTCACACATCTTAGATGCCGCTTTAGTGTCAGACTGGGTTCAGGTCTAGATCCGCTAGTTACTAAGGGTGTAACCTGTGGTAAAATAGCCAGTCCCCTACTTCCTCTTCTGGAGGATGGGGGTGCTAACACTAACCCGAGGGGCCTCTGAGAAAATCCGGTAAAGGGTGGCAGTGTCTGTAAGGCCGGGAGCACAGTGCCTTGTGGCTAGTAGCCCCTCAGGACAGCTAGATCCTGCATTGTTCTTTGCCCTCCGGCATGCGAGGAGAGGCAAAGTGTCACTTGAGTTCCCAGCCCCGCCCTTCTGCGCATTTTGTGGGGCCCTGGAAGCTACCCTGGCTCTAACCAAGCGTTAGGGTGGGTGGGAGGATGTGGGGCAGGTGTTGGAATGGGTGCCTGGGATCCTACCCAATACCGATTTCTTTCTGTAGCACACGGTTCACCCAGTGGCCAAATCTAGACACCTGAGAAAATCGTACCCTCTCCCTCTCATTCCTCTCCTGCACCCTTGGGACTCCATCCCACCGGGGCTCCTAGTCTGGCTACTTCCCACCCGCTTCGATTGCTCACCAACGATACAGCGTTGCTCCAGCCCGCGGCCTCATCTCGTACAGTATTACCGGGACTTCCGCCACACTGGCTGCCAGAATATTCTTTCTGAAGCAAATTTGACCATGTCACTTTCCTACTTAAAATTTACTGTTTTCCGGACGGGGTGTAAATTAGTGAATCATCCAACAAATACTGGGGCGAGGCGGACTTACTGATTGGCTAAACGTTCTTACGGGCACACCGTGAGCCGCACAGCGAAAGCGCTGTCCACACGGAGCTTACTTTCTGGGGGCCCTGCACTGTCTGGACCCCCGCGTCCATTCTCTTACAGGCTTACTTTCCCAAGTTCCTTCCGATTCAGCATGCACTCTGGCCTCCTCACCAGCAAAGCCTTTTCACACTGCGTGGAGGGAAACTAGTCCGCTCCCGACCCATCCCTCCAACCCGGCAAATTGAGGTCCCTCTTTCGCCAGCTAAAGCCCGCCTGCCCCTCCCCTGCCTCTCGGGGATTGTGAGCTAAGAGCCAGGGGTAGGAGGCCTGGGGCCCGGGCCACAGCCCCTCGTTTGGGCTGGCCCCCTCCCCCGCACAGGAAGCAGGGAAGGAGTGCGGGCCCCCACCCCAGCTAGGAATGCCCTGTTCCCAGGTGAGATAACCCCGCGCGACCAGGCCCCCAGGGAAGGGGCACAGTGCCCGCTGTTCCCAACTGCGGGCGCCCAGCCCCGGCTGCATCTCTTGCGTCTTTCCGCAGGGTGGGTCGTGGTCAACTGGCGTCTGCATGGGACTCGGAGTAGCAGAGTGTCCAGTTCAGAGGGGCCAGCTCCAGAGGCCAGTTCTCTGTTGTGGGGGGCTGTTGGCCTCGAGAGCAGGGGGGTGGCCTGGGGGTGGGGGGAGGGTCTCTCTAACCAGAGTGACTACGCCCCGTGTCCCAGCCTGCTGGACCGCTCCACCTGGATCCGCTCACTCCAGAGCCGCCCCCATGGTTTTGTAGCGAGTAAGCAGTCCGCCATTCATCTCCTTCCCTGGGTAACATCGGAGTAATCGAATCTCCCCTTGCCTGCCGCAGACGGTGCCCGTGTCCTGCCAGGTCTGCGCGCCCCATCTCCTCACCGCTCCATCTCCTCACTAGTCTCAGGGCTGGTTTTCTCTTCCGCAGCTTCTCCCTTTCAGACCACCCTCCGCCCCTAACTCCTGTCTGTCCAAGACGCCCTCTTTACTATAGTAAACATCGCTGCCTACCCCCAGGCTGCAATTCAAGGGCATGCAGGGCAGGTCACAACTGCGGCCTCCCCGCTGACTTGCCTCCAGTCCTCCCTCTCTCTCCCTGGGATCCAGTCTTCCCTTTCTGTTTTCACACCTTAAATTCCCTTTGCAAAGAAGGCCTCTTCTTTGTTCATCCATAGAGATCCTCCTCAAATATAACATTAGTGAAACCTTCCCCCAAACTTAGTCTCTTTCTCTTTGCACCTGCAGCAAAGAGCAACTGATATCCCCTTGTCCAACCTGATTCTGGCCACGCTGCCTTCATTGTCCCTACACATGTCTGACTCCCCTACCAGACTCCAAGCTTCTAGAGTGTGCAGTCTGGGTCCTGTTCTCTCCACCCCCAGGACACACTGGCCCGGCCCAGAGCAGACATCTGCAAATCTTTTTTTCTTAATGAATAAGTGGAAGATCATAAGCATCGGGTAGATGTTGTATGTGGTGAAGGGGGTGGACAGCTGAGAGCTAATTTAAATATTCTTGGAGGACAGACCGCCCAGGCTTGGGTGCAGGGGATAGGGGTGATCTGGTGCAGCGAGGATCCCAGGGAAGCACCAGAGTGACGTACTGTCAATTTAACAATCATCGAACAGTTTCTGTGTCACGCCTCAGGGTGGGCACAGGGCATCTTGGTCCACACTCAAATGGCTTCCCCTGCAGTAGAAGAGGGAGACGAGACAGGCAGTGCCAATATGGAGTGCCAAGTGTCACACAGCACATGCAAGGAGGTGTGGCAGTAGAGGAACACCTAACAGGTGTGAGGGGCGTGTCGGGTGTCCCAGAGAGGACCACCACCCACCCCAAGACCGGAGGGAGGGCCAGAGAAGGGGTCAGGGGGCAGTACAGAGAGGAGGCTTTGAGCTGAGCAGGGCCTCCTTATGAAAGGCTTAACTACTAAATGAAGGAGTTGGATTTTATCCTGAGGTCACTGGAGAGCCACTGGTAGCCTCCAAGAAGCTAGGGAGTGACATGATCTGCTTCCACAGGCCACTGTGGTGCAGTGTCTCTCTTATGACCCCCTCCTCTGAGAAACCCCTAAGCCCCTTGACAGGCTGCCTTAGCATCCTGGTCACTTCTCCTGTGCAGGGTTGAATTCTCCTGCTAGGCTGAGTTCCTTACGAGATGAGCCCAAGTCTTCATCTGCTCTGTGTCCCAGGCACCAGGCACATATCTTGCTTCTGGCCTAATGTTTGCTGAATGAATGGATTGTTCCTTTTCTCTTGCATTCCTACAGCCCTTACTCTCAGGTCCACATCCTTTTATACCTGGGACCTGGGCATTATGCTAAAAATAGCATTTAATTGGGAAAGAGGAGACACGATTCAGATCCTAGCTCTACCATTCACTGGGCTAAGTTGTTTAACTCTCCTGAAACCTCAGTGTCCCCCTCTGTAAGGTGAGTGAGGCACCACCGGGAACAGAGTGAGTCCCCACATACAGGCAGGAGTCTTGCTTTCCTGGGTGGCCTGGAAGCTCCACAAGGACCAAGGGTTTCCCCCAGCACCCAGCTCAGTCTGAGTTTACAATGAATACGACGCTTGGTCCTGATGGTAGAAAGCAGAATACAGAGGAGACTTACAGAAGTTTTCAGCCTCAGCCCGACACTTCCAAGGGGTGTCAGTGACCGAGAGCAAGGTTCTCTCCATCTCTGAGTCTTCCTTGCCTTACCTGGCAAGTGGGGTTGGTGAATCTTACCTGGTAGTCCTCACAGGGCCAGTGGAAACCACAGAGGTGACAGTGCTTTGTGAATGAAAGAAATAGCATTAGGTAACTGATCATTAACTAAAAAAAAAAAACAGCAAACTAATATTGATGAGACATGTTTGGTAATTGGTAGGTGTAACCCATGCACCTGCTGACTTCCTCTGAAAGGCGGAAATGCTGGGATACCGCTCTTCCAGGCAACAGGGGCCAGCCTGGGAGAGAGGTGTTTGGTTATGCTGGGTTTGGCCTTGAGGCTCAGGAGAGACTGGGATGGAGGGGGTCATGGGGAGAGAGTCCTTTGGCCCCATCCCCCCCCATATTTCTCTGGCTCACATTTTTTCCCGTCTTAGGTTTTGAGGGGCCCTGGTATGAAATGTCTGAAGAGTCCCAATGGCTTTGGCGATGGGGCCATGGCACCCCTTGATGCGAGTCTGGCCTGTGGGAGCAGTGAGCCCACAGTGCTGTCCTGAAAAACTTCAAGTCCAGCCCCTCCCAGCCTCTGACATGTTGGTGTCAGGCTTTATGGGGAAGGGGCCATGACTGTCTTAGCTCTTGCCCAGATCAGAAGGACCAGGGACTATACAGAGGCATTGAGCCTCAGCTTCCTCACCTCTAAGATAGGTGAGGATTAGCCCGACGCTGTGGCTCGGAGGTTGTGCGTTCTTCTGCAAAGCCAAAGGCCGCAGCGGAACAATGGCTGGATTCCAGTCAGGGCACACGCCTCCACTGAGGACTTAGTCCCCGGTGTGTACGGCAGGCAACCAGTCAATGTCTCTCTCTCACATTGACTGGTGTTCTCCCTCTTCCTTCCTTCTTTCTCCTCTTTCTAAAAATAAATGAATAAACTCTTTAAAATGAGTGAGGATTAAGTGGGGAAAATTAGAGTACCATCTCCCAAAGTCTTCAGGATGAGAAGAAAGCACACAGCGAAAAGTGCCCTGCAAACTTTTCTCTTCTATACACATTCATTTTTTTTGTTTGTTTTCTCTCATCTCGTCCTGCCCCTGCGGGAGCTGGGCCTGCTCTTCTGGTCGGGGCCTGTCAGAACCAGGAGCTCGAGACACCTCGGCCGCAGCCCTGTCCTGAGGTTGTGAGCGTGGCCTGCTGGACAGAGGAGCCTGAGTCTGCAGTGGGCCCCTTTTGTTCTTCCTTCCCCTCAGGTAGCCTTTCTCCCCCCACCAGCCACTCCTGGGGTGGCCTCCCCTTTCCAGTGTTTTTTATTCCTGTGAGACTCACCCCAAAATATTGAAAGTGGCTTTGTAATTAAAAAAAAAAAGTCTCACCTACGACAAAGAACTCAAAGACAAAAGGCTCATCTTTCAGAAGTGGGGAAGGGCCCATACTTTTTGTACCCTGGGTCATGGGGGTGCCCAGAGGGTCGACCCCCATGGGCTACGGGGAAAGGGGTGTAGTCAGAGAGCCCTGGGAACTATGGTTGTGCGGGTTCACTCGCTTCACTATTGTTCTTTCCCAGGACACTCAACTTCTGAACCTGTCTCTGCATCTCCTGGGTCTCCTACATCCGCCTCATCTCAGCCAGTGAAACAATGTTGGGAGGGTGCAGGTGCGGGATGGACCCTAGGGGAACAGAAGCTATCTGGTTCTTAGGAGCCTCTTCTGGACACTTTGACCTTGGGAATCCCTTGCCCCTCTCCCCCCGGGCCCCAGGTCAGTGCACCAGTTTCTCTCTGACCAATGACCAGAGTCCTCCCCAGATGAGTGAATTTTCCTGGAAGGATGTTGCCAATGCCTTGTCCCTGGCCAACATGATCCTGGGGCTCTTCTCCATCTTCTGCAGCTTCTGCAAGTAGGTCTGGGGCCCAGCAAGGTCTCAGCCAAGAGCTGGAACCAAGGGCATGAGGAAGGAAGGGGGGAGTCTAGAGAGCCAGGCACTGAGGCATGGAGATCCAATGGGAGCAAGAGAAAGTGTAGTGGGGTAGGGAGTCAAAGGGCCAGGATTCTAGCCTCAGTTCTACCACTAACCTGATGTGACCTTGGCTAGGTTCTATTCCTGAGCCTCAGTTTCTCCATCTTTAAAACAAGGAGCTTACACTATGATCTCTATAGTTCCTTCTAGCTCTAGCCTGTCTAGTATGATTTTCATGAGAAAATCAAAGGTTCTGCCTTGGTAGACTTTATACAATCCTTGGATAGGCAGGCTGCCATTCAAGTTTTTTTATTGTAAGTAAGAATACATGATCTGGAGGGATATTGAAAATTAGCACTGCTCCGGAAAATCTGAGACATGTATATGGACCCCCAAAAGTTGTAAACAAATGAACTTTCTGTAAGTTGAATCATATTTCAATGACTTGGCAAAGTGACTCACAGATAAATTGTTTATAATGCAAATGACATACTCGGAATCTGTTTGAATCTCTGTAATCACAGCAGGTGACTCCTCTGGATCTGTGTCTCATCCATAAAATAAGATGGTTTTACCTGATGATATTAGCTTGAAATTTCTATGATTCTCTAAGTGCGGGCTTTTGGAGTCGTGACGTGAGGCATACTTGCAGCAGAAAAGCCCTATCATCTTAGTTCAGCCTGAGCTTCTCAGAGTGTGGTTTTTATGCTATGGGGGTGGACCCAGTTCCCTTTAAACACACAGGATTAGGTCTAAACAAAGAAAATGCCGAGGTGGTTTGGGGACAGCTGAGGTCTGGGGTCAGGCTCTCTGGTGGCTTCTGCTGGACAGCCCAAAAGTGGCAGTCAGAGTGGAGACTGGGGAGTGGCCTCCTGGGGCAGGTTTGCCAGAGGTTTGTGGTGGCTGCTTTCAGAAGGTCTGGGAGCATGTTCTGGACAGAAGCATAGAATCCTTAATTTTAGGGTCTGAAAGAGCTCTTGGTAGTCATTTATAGCATCAAAATACATTAGACAAAAACTGATAGAAAGGCAAGGAGAAACTGATGAATCTACTATCATGGTTGACTATATTATATTTCAACAGTCCTCTATTATAAATTCTATCAGTAATTGACAGAGCCAGAAGGCAGAAAATTAGTAAGGATATAGTTGAACTAAACAGCACCATCAATCAGCTGGGTCTATTTGATATTTGTAGACTCCCTCATCCAACAACAGAAGAATACATATTCTTCTCAAGCTCAACAAGGTGGACCACATTCCTCCTCACATTCCAGGCTATGGGACATACCTTAACAAATTTAAAATAACAGAAAGCATATAAAGTATGCTTTCAAACCACATGGAATTAAACTAGAAGTCAATAACAGATAAATAACTAGAAAATCCCAAAATATATGATGGTTAAACAACACAGTTCTAAATAATATATGAATAAAACATGAAGTCTCAAGAGAAGTTAAAAAATATTTTTAACTAAAAGAAGAGGAAAATACAATTTACGAAAGTTTGCGAGGTGCAGCAAAAGCAGTACTTAGAGGGAAATTTATAGTATTAAATGCATATACTAGAAATCTGCTCTGCGTTAGACTATAACCCACAGACTGGGAGAATATCTGCAAAAGACGTACTTGATAAGGGCCTCTAACCCAAAATATATAAAACTTAAAACTCAGTAATAAGAAAATAAACAATTTAAAAAGAGTCAAAGACTTTAACAGACTCCTCACCAAAGAAGATAGACAGATGGTGTATGAGCATAGGCGAAGATACTCAACCTCATATGTCATCAGGGAAATATAAATTAAAACAACAGTGAAATGCACATCTATTAGAATAGGCAGACTCCAGAACACGGATAACACCAAATGCTAGTGAAGATGTGGAGCAACAGGAACTCTCATTCACTGCTGGCGGAAACGCAAAAATGGTACAGCCAGTGTGGAAGGCAGTTTAGCTGTTTCTTACAAACTAACATACTCTTACCATGTGATCTGGTCATTACATTCCTTGGTATTTATTTAAATGAACTGAAAACTATGTCCATGCCCTGGCTGGTGTGGCTCAGTGGATTGAGCACGGGCTGTGAACTAAAAGGTAGCCGGTTCGGTTCCCAGTCAGGGCACACGCCGGGGTTGTAGTCCAGGTCCCCAGTGGCGGGACCTGGAAGTAACCAAGATGTCCTTCACTAAATGATTGGATAAAAAAAACAAAACAAAACTGTAGTACATTCAGACAATGGAGTGTTATTCAGTCCTAAAAGGAAATGAAGGACATGAGAGAACATAGAGGAGACTTAAATGCACATTATTAAGTGAAAGAAGCCAATCTGAAAGGCTATACATTCTGGAAAAGAAAACAGAGAGAGAATAAAAAGATCAGTGGTTGCCAGAAAAGGCAATCATTTTCTTTAATAGAAAATGATTTCTATTAAAGAAATCATTTGGCACAAACCCCTTATTTTGCAGATGGAGGAACAGAGGCCTGGAGAAAGGGGGAAATGGTTTACATGAGAACTCACAGTAATGTGGTTGCAGAGGCTGGGCTAGAACCTAGGACCCATAGGCCATTAAATATGCCTGAAATTTGGAGTTGGAAGGGGGCTTAGTGATTGCCTAGGGGTTTTGGGGCACTCCTTCAGGACTGGATTGAAAGTATGAAAGGGACATAGGTGTGCGTGTGTGTGCGTGCATGGTGTGTAAAGCAGTGTATATCAGGATGTGAGTGGGGGGAACTTGTAGGGGTGTGTTTGTGTGCACGAGTTGGTGTACTGGAGGTGGAGTGGTGGTCCAGTGGAGACTACCAACGAGCTGTCCTGTTTGGGCCTGCTGGCCTGTGCTTTAGGAAATTCCACTGTGCCTCCTGGATGCTTCTGATCAGCTTCCTATTAGACATGGTTATCAGGACAGTGACCAGACACCTCAACATCTGCTGTAAATCAGGTGAGTACTGGCCTCAGACCCCTAGTTGCTGACCCCAGGAGCACCTGTGTCAGGTCAGCTCCTTCTTCTCCTAACACTGACAGGCCTTCACAGACACCAGTCCTGTTTGTATCCCTTGAGTGCACAGCGGAAGCAGCCCTCGAGTTGGAGCCGCACCCCTCCGCCTAGATCTAGCTGCTCTGCTGGCTCACTGACTGATCTCTGGCCATCCTTGGCCTGTCCTTCTGTTTTCCTGTCTGCCCTGCATCCCTGTTCAGGGCTGATCCAGGAGCTGGGAGTGGGAGTAGTGGTTGTAATGGAGGGGGACAGGGAAAATGAAACATCACTCTAAGCAGAGTAGCTGACTGAAAATACAGTAAAATATTTCTGTGTCAGATTTTGCTTGAAAAAAGCATTCTAGAGCTTTTTAATTTGTATCCAGTTATAGTCCAGCCCTTGCACATTACAGGATGGACCTAAGACCCGGACAGGGGAAGCCTTGCCTAAGGCCACATGGTCAGTCTAAGGAAGAGGCAGAAGGAGACCAGTCTTTGGTCTATAGACCACCCTGGGGAGTAGATGTGGTCGGCATGGGGGACCTCAGACCCTGCCTGTCGCCATTCCAGCACCCCCAGCAGAGGGGACTAATGTATAAGGGTAATGTATACCTTTACGAGTATAAGGGTACGTTCTAACCTTGGCCTTCTGGAGCAGGAGCGGAGCTGAATGACTTTGCTGTCTTCACCACCTGTGGCCTGGCCTCAGCCCTGCTCCTAGGCGTGGATGGGCCTCTGAATGGGTTTCTGGCCGTCATCTATGTGTTAGCTACTTCTTTCCGCCTGTGTTTTTATTCAGCGGGTGAGTAGAACACAGTCTTATGGCTGAACTAGGGAACCACGGAGGAGGAGGGGCCAGAAGCCTGGGGTGCAGTAACTGACTGCTCCCCTTCCTTTTGTAAAGTCCTTCCTTCTTCCTTCTCCTGTGCCCTGGGCCCACTGAATGCTGCAGGCTGCATTGGCAGAGCCCTGGTCTGGGGCCTGGGCGCCCTTGGTTCCTGTGTAGCGATGCCTTTTTTTTGCTATGTGACCTTTGGATGATGCACATGGATTCAGTCTGTAGAATGAGAGGTCATGCTCGTTTCCAAAAACAGATGGAGATACTAAGCTCCAGCGAGGGCAGCCGCCTAAAATCCTAAAGCAAGGGAGCAGCACAGATGCAGACTAGCTCTCAGAGCACCCTTCTGCAGAGGCTTCCTGGGGGCCAGGGCACACACCTGGTCCTAGCTGCCCACTTCACCTTGGGGATCCAATGCAAAGCCCACACATCATCTCTGTGAATAACTAAATACTTTATGGCCTGCCACTGGCCTGGGATTAAGGGAGTTTGGAGTGTGGGGTGGGGAAAATCCAAAGGGACAAGGGCTTGCTTCATGCGGATACCTTGAGATCAGCAGCAAACAGCTAACCTCCATCTTTCCATTCCTTATCAGGCACTCCCTTCACATACAAGGGTCTACCCTGCCCCTATGCTTCCTGTGTTTTGGCCTCCACCTCCCTTCTGACCAAAGGCAACACGTTCATTCTCTCTTGCATGGCCTCACTTATGATTCTATTCATGATGGACCAGAGCTACTACCCGCATGACGAAATCCTGGACTCCGAGACCTGGAAGAAAGTGGTTTATCTGGGAGGTGAGTAGGGATGGGAGAGCAGAGGGTGGGAAGTACACGTCGGACGGCTTCATAAAGACTGAGCGTCTTATTTTCTTCTTCCAGGTGTCATCATGCTGTTTCTGTCTCCATTCTCGCTAACTGCTTTTTACTGCTTGATGTGGTCACTCTCTTACATTTTCTTTCCAGACGCTCTGTGGGGCAAGGGCGTGTGTCTTAGGCTGCAGCACTTAAGAAACTAAATAGCTCTACCCATTCCCGCTACCTCTGTGGGGTTTGTGGCAGCCTGCTGGGCCAACCTTGCCTTATCCTCACTAAATCTTTCCCTGTCCCTATGTTGTGCTTGTGGTAGGTGCATGTCACCTCGACCAGAACAGCCCACAGTAGGACCAGCGACCTTCCCTTCTTCTCCTTTATTCAGGGGTCTGAATCCCTTGAGAGGACAACAGTTGTTTACATCAGATGGAACAGAGTTTTTTCCAAGCTTGAATGGGGCTGTGTTTGAGTTCCAGCTCTTTTTACCTGTTGGGGACCTTGGGCACTAAGGTTAATAACCCCTTGGAAAGGAGTGAAACCCTTCAGAACTGACATAGCTGCCACCGTGGCCCTGCTGGTTGTCAATCACTGCAGTGGTGGGGTGGGGCTCTGCTCACTAAAGCATGTTTTTCAACTACAGTTGACCTTCAATATTATATTAGTCTCAGGTGTACAGCACAGTGATTAGACATTCATGTAGCTTACAAAGTGCTCTCCCGATAAGTCTACTACCCATCTGGCCCTGTACACAGTTACTACAATATTACTGACTGTGTTTCCTGCGTGGTACTTCACATTGTCGTGACTGTTTTGTAACTGCCCCTTTGTACTTCTTATCTCTTCACTTATTTTTACCCAGTCCCCAACCCCCATCCCCCTGGCAATCATCTCTACATCTGCATTTGTTTCTGTTTCGTTTGTTCATTTGTTTTTTAGATCCCACATATAAGTGAAGTCCTAGGGTATTTGTCTTTCTCTGTCTGACTTAATCCACTTAGCATAATACCATCTAAATCTGTCTACCTATGTTGCTGCAAACGATAAGATTTCATTTTTTATGGCTGAGTAGTATTCCATTGCTTATATGTACCACCCACCTTTTCTTTACCCAGTTGTCTATCCACGGACACTTAGGTTGCTTGCATATCTTGGCTACTGAAACTACTGCTGCAGTGATCCTACAGACTCGCTGCATGGAGCAGAGCTAGTCACAAGACAATCATGTGGCCTAACTTGAACATGTATGGGTTATTGTAACTTAAAATTCTGTAGTTATTTCAACAGCCAAAGCATCTGCCTTTGCTTCATTTAGAGATTAGACACATTGGAAGCTGGAGGGCATCGTTTGGTCTCTGGGACCTTGTTTTCCCCTAGGCTCTCAAATACTGAACTCCAAACTCCAGATATTCAAATGCCGCTTCGCGTTCTAACATCCAAAGGGAACAGAAATAAACAGTATTGTATGGAACCCTAAAGCTGCACCTCAAAAACAACAAACACATAGGCCCACTGAAAGCAGCAACCCCAGCGTCGTCTGGACTCTCTGCCTCCAGCTGGCCTGCCGAGAACTGCGGGCTGGCCCACCCTCCTCAGCCAGGGCACCCGAGCACCTTTCGCCACAGGTCCAACTACTCTAAGTTTGTAGAACAATGTATGTGTAAAATATGCATTAAATCTAAAATTAGGATTTAAAGGTAAAAATCCAAAGAAGTCCACACTGCTCTGCTTTGGAACAGAGAGCCCCCTCCTGCTCCCCACTGCTATTCCTCCGTCACATATTTTTTCAGTTAGATAGCATGTCTGCGTCCCACTGTATTTTAGCTTCCTTCGTTTTATGCTTTTGGGTGTCCCTTGCCTGCCTATGCCTGGCTCTCAAAAGTGTTTACTTTGGAAATGAATTGATCTAGTTGTGTGTTCTAGTGAGCTATATACAAGGTTACTATAACGTGGTTAAGAATCTTAAAAATACCCTTGAGTCTGACTATCCCCATCATAAACCAATTTCTAGGCCTGATAAAGTCACTCCCAAATGACAAAGTAAAAGCGCCTGCACTCCCCTCCGGTTGGTGCAGGCTTACCTGTAGCTGTCCATTCACAAGCTGAGAGGACATTGGCTTCCAGCTCTGACCTGGAGCAGTGGCTCATCAGGGAGTAAAGGGCACAGGTTCACGATGCAGCTAAAAACGGAGGATCAGGGAGGGGCTGCAGAGCTCCAGCTGTAGGAAGCAGTTCCATTCCTCCCCTCCCCTCCCCTCCCCTCCCCCCCTGAGGAGCAGGGGTTCCCTCCCCTCCCCCCCTGAGGAGCAGGGGTTCCCTCCCCTCCCCTCCCCTCCCCCCCTGAGGAGCAAGGGTTCCCTCTGCTCCCCTCCCCTTTCTTTCCTTTAATAACATTCTTTTTGTTTCCACTTTTTACACCTAGGCACTCCCACACTAAAGTATGAGCAAATGCACATTTTACTAGTATTTTATTTGTATTTTTGGAGATTTACAGTTTTACAAGACACAATGATTGTTCTCAAACAATAGAAAAGGTTTTTTTTAAAAAAAGACTATTGTCTTAGAAGAATAAAACAAGTCTCTTCAGCAAGCATTGGGCCAATGCAAATTGGAGGAACCAGGGAAGCAGAAGTTACACGTAGGAAGTTCATCCAGTTTTAGGAATAACACAAATGCCTTCTTGTCTAGTTCTGTAAGGCTCCAAACAGGCCATCTCAGCCTAACACTGGTAAGGAGCTCGCAGACAAAGCCGCAGGGTCCCATCTCCTTTGAACTCTGCGGCTCACTCCCCAGGAGGCTGCATCTGTTTACAGAACTCGTCGAACTGCTGCTGTTCCAGTTCGGTCATGACCCTGTTGAGGGCATAAATCTGAGTGGGAGAGAAAGATGTGTTAGCAATGGAGGCAGCTGCTCAATGCACCTTCAGACACAACAGGCTGTGTCATTTGACAGTGCCAGAACTGTACCACTAAGGGAAGAGAAGTAGGTATTAACTCCATCTGGGGAACCATTAAAGAAGCAGTGAAGCGGGTCACTTAATCTGGCCCATCAAGGATCAGTGGGATTTGCACAGGTAGAGACTGAAGAAGGGACATGATAGGTGACAGGGTGAAAAAGGGATATTATGATTAAATAAATATGATGGGAAAGTACAGGATTAGTTCTGGAAACTTCAAGTATGCTAATATGAAGTATATTATAGAGAGGGGTTTGGGGAGTTGGAGAAAGCAAGAAGAGTATGTCGGGGGCTTAAATGCCAAGTGAAGGAATCTGGACTTTATCTGACTGACTCTGGACAGCCAGCAAAGACAGGTGTGCGGGGGAGCAACCTGATTATACCTGGGCTTTGGGAAAGATAACATGTGAGGGGTGGAGCGGGGGTGGAATGATTACAGGTCACCTGGGCAGAGGGTATCACCACAGTGAGAACAGGACGCGGGGCAAGCAGTGGGGCGGAGTGAAAACTGCAGGAGACCTTCTGAGGTGACAGGCGGGGCTCTACCTTATTCCTCACCTTTCCTCATCCTTGTAGCCTCAGTCTGCCCACTAAAGAACAGAAACATCATACGACTTCCTACGTTGTGGAAGGAAAAAAAGGAAGGGGAATGTCTGTGCACAGGGAAAATAAGTTGATTAATTAAAAAGACAAGAAAGGGGCAAAAAACTAAGAAGTGAGAGAGAAAATACACAAAACAGAATTAATGAAAAAGCAACCAAAGGTACAAAAGAGAGGACCACCAAAACTGCAAGATGGTTCTTTGAAAATGCTAAAGCAAACCTCCAGCATGACTGATCCAGATAAAAAGAGAGTAGGCACGAACAAACACTATTAGAATTTTAAAAACCCACATAATTACTGATGTAATAAAGATTACAGCAAACTATGATGAACTCTGGGTCAATAAGTTTGAAAAGGTAAATGAAATAAATCCCTATGAAGTAAAATGATCAAAGCTGACTAGAATAAATAGGAAGCTTGAATGATCCTATGGTCTCTTTCCCACAAGACTTTTTTTTATTGTGGTAAAATCCTATAATCTTTAAGGAAAATGAAATTCCACAGTGATGAAAATAGTTACATGCAATAACACAAATGATTCTATAAAAACATCATACTGAGAGTTAAAACAGTTATGTTTTATATATATTCATGTATTTTACTACAATAAAAATTAATAAATTTGAATGGTTTAAAAAATGTTGAATGAAGTCAGACTATAGCAACACATAGATGGCACAAATAACTCCCCCTTTTTATGACAAAATCATAAGCATGTAATCTGTAACATAACAAATATCACACTCAATCAAACCATATGACATTTTAGGCAAAATGTTCCAATTGCTGTCCATCTCATGGGAGACATTCACGTACCCTACCAACTACACTCAAGCAAGCCTTACTTCTGCCAGACCTTGTATATCAAGTTCAGAAACATGCAAAACTTAATATATTTTTACACTACAAAATACTTAGAGGAGTACACAGAAAAATTACAAATTAATACAGAACAGCAAGGGAGTGATTAGCATGAAATTAAGGAATGAAGGCACTGCTAATGGGAAAGGTCAGGGACGTGACCACTCTGGGGCCGAAGGGGCTTCTACGTGATTGGTCATGAGCTTCTTCTGTAGTTGGGTGATAGGTACAAAGGTGTTTGTTTGTTTTACTCATCTTGTTTAAACTGCATGTACACATTATTTAAACCTCTGCTTCATTCATTCACACTTCAGTGAAAATTTGTAATTTGTGTGTTACTGTGCTAGGGACTGAGTTTATTAAATGGCTTCTTGGAGACCTCCAGGTCAAGGGGGACAGGCGAGGGAACAAAGGGGTAGGAGAAAGGAAAAGAAGCAGATGCAGAAGAGACCCAAAAAGGGTAAGGAGGTCTGAACCATGGAATGGAAGACTTTCAAGGTGGAAAGGGTCACCCACAGTGCCAAATGCTGCTACAGCTGTCAAGCATGCTTCTGCTCCCATTCACCCTCACCTCTCTTTCACATCTGGAATGCAGAACTGAATGGAAACTGTGTTTCTTCCTCCCCCAAGGGGTCTGCCACATTCCAACTTTAGGAGATTATATTCCAGGCAACACAAAGAAAACAGCAAAACAGCTGGAGGGCAAAGTACTTTTTGCAGGAGCCGAAGGTCAGGAGACCTGTTTAGATGGCAGTCCTCCCTTCAATCCCTCAATAACTAGGAATTCTGGTCACATAAAATGATGGTAATGCCTTTTACCTCCCAAAGTCACGTATTTGATACTTCCCAGCCTTACTGCAGGAAAGGCTTTTACCAAGGTCAACTTGGGAGCGACAAGAATACCCGGGTAACTAATACCAAGCCCTGGCGTGAGGACTGCACGTGGTTGTGCATATGCAGGTTGGCCCCGGGCCCGGCACATCTGAAGAGCTCAGCAAGCGCCAGCTGCCGCTAGAGTGCAAATCCAACATCACATTTCAGCAAGTCCACACGAACACGGTCAGCTGTGCCATGCTGAGTCCGCATGCTGAAAGCGAGCCGAATGCTTGGAAGCATGCCGACACCTGGTAGCAACCGCTGCCACTCAGTGCTTTCTCTGTGCCAGGCACTGTGCTAAGTCTCTCCATATAATGTTTCTGTTCCTTATAACGATCCTGTGAGGCAGATATTATCATCTTCATTTTACCAAGGGGGACTGAGGAACTGAGGTTCAGAGAGGACTGCAGTTCAAATGTCACGTGGGCAGAAGTGGGATTTTGGAAAAGCTGGGAACCTCCCCAGAAGGGTGTCAATAAGGACGTGAACAATGTCCTCCACAACATCTCTCCCTACAGCATACACAAAGGGCAGTTTCTGAGGGTTGTTTCTTAGAGCAGGCCTCAACCTGTTCACCAAAGTGCAAAGCAGTAAAATCATTAGGGGGCCTCAGTCCAGGCGGGCATGAGGAGGTGATGGAAAAGGGGAACAATTTGTTCGAGTCCAGGTCCACAGCTCTTAGATGGTCTGCCTTAATCCAAAAGTAGATTTCAGGTGATGGATCAACTCCAAACACACTATTAAGTTTATGTGTTATGTTCACTGAATGAATGCACGCCCCGCAGGTGGGGACTCTCCTCTGCCTGGTCCTACAACTGCCTGACACAGCTCATAGTAGCAGCTCAACATCTGTTTAATGAATGGGTTAGATTAATTCAAATTTAAAGTCTGCCCGTCGATTGTTGGGAAAGAAGTGAGCAATGAGAACTCTCTTACACTGCTAATGCAGGTGCAAACTTGTACAATCTATCTGAAAGCAATTTGGCAATGTCTAGTAAAATTTAAAAATATCTAGTAGTCTTATTTCTAATTAAATATGCCCTACAGCAATTCTAGTGCAGGTGCCAAAGAGACATTTAAAAGTTGTTCACTACGGCAATGTTTGTAGTTGTTCACTACAGCAAAAACAAAACAAAACAATAATTTAAACATCCATCACTGGAGGAATGCGTAAATGTACTAAAGTAGATTCATACAATAGACTACTGTAAGCAGTGATGAGGAATTAACTAGATTGTTATACTAACATAAAATAGTTCTAAAAACAATTGTAAGCAAAATGCAAAATCAAAATTTATTAATGTAAAAATTTTAACCAAGAATACTGTATATTATTTATTCAAGGATATCTATCAATATATTTGAATGTAAAGGTATATTAAGAAATAGTGATTGCTCAAGGGTAGGAGAAAAGTATAAGACAGGAAATGGACAAAGGGGACTTCAAATTTGTACGTGAGTTTTATTTACCTTATTTTAAAAAGGCTCCGGGCAAATATGACAAATTGTTAACCACTCCCAATCTGGGTGCTGAGTACCCAGGTGTTAGTTATATTTTATTTCTCTGTATATTTTAATTACTCAAAAAAGAGAGAGAAAGGACTGAAAACAGAGGGAAAAGAGCACAGCAAGCTTTTCCCTGCTACTAAATACTACAATACAATGCGTGTGCCAGGATGTGGTTCAACTCAGGCAGTGTGAATGGTTTAAGCTTTTGATTCACAAAGCGATGGTAAGCGTTGACTGAACAGAGGCTGCACTGGCGGGGGCAGAGCGGGGGCCTCCCCTCCCTGGTGTGAGCTGCTACACTCCAGGCCAAGCCCAGACCACCTGTGCTGGGTGGGGTGTCTGACGCTTGCTCTCTTTCACCCTGGCCCTTCCCTCACTCGTCCCTTCTCTCACTCCTTTGTTCCTCCCCTTGGGTCCCTGCCACAGGGGCTGTGTCAGGAGTCATCTGTAGACCTGGTACAGGTCAGGGTTCCAACACTAACTTGGCAAATGACTCTGGGCTGTCACTTCACCATTCTGGACCTCAGCCATCATCTCTCTAAACCTGCAGGACACCTGTTTGGCCTGGAGGCAGGAAGGGCACACCATCAATAGTCCTGATATTTCTCTATCCCCCCACTGCCTCCAGCAGATGCGGGGACACAGGCCCCCTCCTCAGTCTCACCTCTGCTCTTTGTCTTTGTTTCAGCTCCTGCTGGGCTGACTTCTGCTTGGCCTTCTCAACTCTGCTGACAGGTTCTTTAACTTTGGACTTTTCTTTACGTGCAGGTGGATCCATGACTTAGCTTCTGAATACTTAGTCAGTTCTGACCTGGATGGTACAGAAAGAGGGAAAGGAAAGGAAAAGGAAGGAAAGGGAAGGGGACAAAGGGGAAGGAGAAAAGAAAGAAAGGAGGAAAAAAAAGAAAGAAAAGAACTACCAGTCATTGGCCTAACTCTCTAGCTCTGCCCCTTCCTTTGACAGGTGAGGCAGAGTGGCCAGATGCAAAGGGCGCTACATTTGCAGTAGTAAGATCGGATTCCCATTCCCCGACCTCGCTGGGCGTCCCCCGGCACATCTCTTCATTCTGAGCCTTTGTTTTCCGTCTGCAAAATGGCACAATAGATCCATTCCCTGGCCTCCTTCCAAGAGGAGGCTGCTGTGAGAGGACCAAATGAGAAGAGCCAGGCCAAAGCGCTCCGGACACCGGAGGGTGCTGTGTAACGTGGGGCTGTAACAATGCTGAGGACGCCGAGGCCCAGAGGGGCAAGCCAGCCGAAGTCTCGCAGCAGGGAGGCCTGAGCCCCGCGCTGTCTCTAGCTTTCCCTCCTCTGTCCTGAAGGACAGTTACGTCCCAGTCCTGCCGGCCCGCAGGGACCTCGCTCCCCGCGTCCGGGCGACTCCGCCAGGCCGGCCGGCCCGCCCTCCACCCGACCCCGCCCCCTGCCGCCGGACCCGCCCTGGGCCCCAGCCCAGCCCCGGTGGAGCCTCCCGCCCACCGCTGCCCGCTCCGGGTGCAAAATGGCGGCGCAGGCGTGCGGCCTGGGGAATCGGTACCTTCCCTCCCCTGCCTCAGGACTTTGGGTCCCCGCAGCCTCACAGACACGGTCCCACAAAGGAGACCCACTCTCTACCCTACCTCAGGGCCTGGAGTCCCGAGCCACCGCGCCTCGGATTGGGTGTGGCCGAGCCGGGGGCGTGGCCGGCAGCTCTGAGTTCCCGCCCCTAGGCGGGGCCGCGCGTGCGCAGAGAGCTTGTCTGAATGCCTCACTTTGGCTTTAGGGACGCAGCTGGGCGGTTTAAGTGTTAACAGACGCTTTTCCCGGGAGTATTTTATGGGACAGCTGCTGGGCTTTGAAGGGTGAGATGTGAAATCTGGGACTCAATTGCTTAATTCGAAAAGCACGGGTGGTGTTAGCTGTCTTCTTGATTTCTGAGCTTATTAAATGGAAGAGCCAGTGAGACCCTGTTTGCCACAGTACTTTGAAAAAGGAAATAGTGACAGAAGTTTAAATAGCCGATATAGACAGAGAAGTATTCAAGTTTACTGACAATAGTTTACAATTATTTTCACGATCACAATTTTCTAGTTATTTACAATAATTTTACAAATTAAAATAGATGGCTAGCAGCCCACAGTCCTCCCCCTGCCACCCCCTCCCCCCCAAAAAAAACCTAGCTGTCATTTTTCATTCATTAGGTTAAGGATCAAAGAAAAAGGTAGACAAATATTTTGACAACCGAAATCCTGTTCAGTCTAACAAAAACAATATCAACAATAATAGGCACCTCTCTTCTGGGCTTTTTTATGTTCCAGGCAGTTCTTAGAAAAGCTTCATATTTCTTAATTCATGTATTTCTCATGATGAGTATGTATAGGAATGCACAAATATAATAATATACTATTATTATCCCCATGTTATGGATAGAGGAACAGAGACACTGAGAAGATAAGTGATTTGTCAAAGGGCACACAGCTAGTAAGAGCCCCAGTAAGTATTTCTGCCAGGATTCTAGATAGGACAATGGCCCATCCAAAGAAAGACATGTTTAGGCCCACTGCTTTCATTCTTATGGGAACAAACCATGGATGCTAAGCAGGCAGGGTGTAGTCCAGATGGACACACACACTTTCAAAGTGTAAATTGTCACAACTTTTTGGAAATCAATTCTACATATCAAAAGCCTTAAAAAAGAGCACAACCCCACAAAAAGACGCATACTGCATGATCCTATTTATATGAGATGTCTAAAGTGCTCAAACTCTTAGAAAGTAGAATGGTGATTGCCAGGAGCTAGTGGGGGGGGTTGTTCATTGGGCAGAGAGTCCTAGTTTTGCAAGAGGAAAAAGTCTTGGAGATCTGTTGCACAACAGTGTGACTATAAAAATGACTGAGACAGTAAATCTGAAGTGCCCTTTTAACCAAATTTTAAAAAAGAGCATAGCCCTGCCGGATTGCTCAGCTGGTTGGAACATTGTCCTATGTACTAAAGGGCTGCAGGTTCTGTCCCTGGTCAGAGCACATACTTAGGCTGTGTTTCCATCCCAGGTCAGGGCATGTACAAGAGGCAACCAATAGATGTTTCTCTCTCATGTTGATGTTTCTCTCTCTTTCTCTCAAATCAATAAATGTATCCTTGGATGAGGATTTTAAAAAAAGAAAAAGGAAAAAAAAGACCATAACCTTTAATCAGCAATTCCATTTCCAAGTTAACCGAATTAAATACTCAGATAGTGCCATTTCTAAGAATAAAAACTGGAAACCATTGAAGTATTTATAATAGGGGTTGATTAAATACATTACAGAATATCTATCATGGGACTCTATGTTGCCATTAAAATGACATAGAAGAGGCCCTGGCTTGTGTGGTTCAGTGGATTGAGTGCCTGCCCGTAAACCAAAGGGTTGCTGGTTTGATTCCCAGTCAGGGCACATGCTTCGGTTGCAGGCCAGGTTCCCCAGTAGGGGGTGCACGAGAGGTAACCACACATTGATGTTTCCCTCTCTCCCTCCCTTCCCCTCTCTCTAAAAATAAATGAGTGAAATCTTTTTTAAAATTACATGGAAGAATATTTATTGACATAATAAAATGCTTTTAGTATATTAAATGAAAACATTACAAAGAGGCATATATAATATAATCACATTATTTGTTTTGTTGTTTAAAAAAGATTATTATATACATGTAGAAAGGAGGCTGGATGAAAACAGAGCAAAATGTAAATCCAGATTATTATTTTTTAAAGATTTTTATTTATTTATTTTTAGAGGGGAAGGGAAGGAGAAAGAAAGGAAGAGAAACATCAATGTGTGGTTGCCTCTCATGTGGCCCTCACTGGGGTCCTGGCCTGCAACCCAGGCACATGCCTTGACTGGGAATTGAACTGACGACCCTTTGGTTTGCAGACCCGTGCTTAATCCACTGAGCTACACCAGCCAGGGCCCAGGTTATTTTAAGAGTAAGATTATTTTTATTTTCTTTGATAACAGCAGAAAGTTTTAATGGGAAATTATAACCCCATCATGCTTTTGACATTGTTTCCATAAGGGCTGACTCTGACTAATATGTGGTTTAGAGATGAACAGCATGTTTGTGTAAGAATGCTAGGAACTAATTTCAGAAGATACAGACCCTGACCTTCAGGCATCTCGGCTCTGGGAGATTTGCTGACCTTCAACCATGGAGCCAGGATGACATGAAGCTGGGCTGACGTGAACCCATGATGACTAAACCATGATGATGCACACCAGACCATTACTTGCCTTACTAGAATGGACTGTGCTAGTCTGCATGGAGAGAACTTTGCAACTGCCTCACTTGATCTCTTTGTTCTGTTCCCCTCTCTCTCCTTATGAAAATCTCTGCCTCCACTGAGAGGTGGAGATGGGCTTTGAGACATGGGCCCCCCATCTTCCAGATGGCCAGCGTCTGAATAAACCTCTTTCCTGTACATCTGCACCTGCTTCTTGAGTATCGGCTTTCCTAGTGGCAGGCAGCCAGACCTGTGTTCGGTTACAATACTTATATACTTTCTTCTTTTAATCAGAAGAAAGTATAATGTTATTTTAAAAATTGTACACAAATGCTGATTGGATTACTATTATTAATAAAAGTAACTAAGCCAGAATCTATTTCAGAAATCTTGGCATAGCAGGGGCATTTTACATTTGTGTCACATTGTACAGTTTATAAAGTTCACATAAACTCTGGAGTAGATTACAGCTTGAGACTGGGCAGGGATCTTTGGAATGCTTTAAAAAACAGACTAGACAGACTGGATATAGGGTAAGTTGGAGTGAATAAGTCAAACTGGAAGACTGGAAAAATAGTGGAGCCATGGATAAAAGTGAACGTTGATGAGGTTGATGAGTTGGCTTGGAGGAGGATGAGGAAAAGAATAAATTGGGTGTGTGTGTGAGTGTGTGTGAGTGTGTGTGTGTGTGTGTGTATGTGTGAAAGAGAGAGAGACTTATTTACTTTACACTTATAGATGGCAGTGGGCGAGGGTGGTCCAGGGTGTGGGGTTCCCGAAGGCACAGATGTAGAGATAACGGTTTGGGATTCTTCATCAGGAAGGTGAAGGCTGGAGCCAGGAGCGGGTGAAAGTCCCCTCCCTATTTTTCCTCCATGAGTTTATGATCGCTTTCTTTCTCTCTTTTGTGACCATCAACATACACTTGGCCAATCTGCAAAATTCCCTGGTTGGTTAGGTCAGAGTTTACATTCATGTAAGTACAAGATATTTTTGCTGTTCAGGTGTATATCATACTAAGATCACATTTACTTTCGTGAACAGCTTTTTTTTTTCTGGAGTAAAAATTGCCTATTTTTAAACATCAGCCTAATTATTTATACATCTCTTGTCACTTCCACAAACTCTCCCTTAGGACTATAAAGCATCTCTTGATCTGGTCACATGAATCCAGTGATCTTTCTTTAAAAAAAATAATTTTAGAGAAAGGAAGGGAGAGAGAGAGAAAGAAAAACATTGATTTGTTGTTCCACTTATTTATGCGTTCATCGGTTGCTTCCCGTATGTACCCCAACTGGAGATCGGAGATCTTACCCAGAAACCTTGGTACATCAGGACAACACTGACCAACTGAGCTACCCAGTCAGGGCCGGTAATCATTCAATGTCTTTTTTATTTCTTGGAGATTCCCTTCCTTAAGTCCATTCTCCTCTCCCTCTAAACTGTAGTCTTGGCCTCACTGTCCAACTGTTTTTCTAGGACTCCCCCTAATTACATCCTGGGGATTCCCACCTCTCCTCTCCTGTGGCAAATCCCCCGTCTCCTGAATCTTTCTACTTGTGGTTTATTCTCTCATTTTGAAGAAGCACATTCTCTAGTAACTTCCCCAGAAGGAGTCCACAGCAGGTAAAATTTTGAAACCTTGCTAGTCTAGGTTATCTTCACACTTGATTGACAGTTGGGTGGGGTACAGATTTTAGATTGGAAATAATTTCCCCTCAGAATTTTAATGGCATTGGTCCATTGTTATCTAGTTTCTCATGTGGCTGGACTCTTCAGTAGTTTAATGTGTTCTGATTTCTGTTACTTCCTATCTGATTTTTGTTTGTTCATTAGTTTCTGGAAACTTTAAAGACATATATTTTCCTTTCATCCTTGGTGGTCTGAACCGTCATAATAAGACTTTTTCATTCATTGTGCTAGGCACTCAGTGGCCTCTTTCAGTCGGGAAACATATACTCTTCAATTCTGGGAAACTTCTTCAGTGACAGATCCCTTTGTTTTTGTTTTTAAGAATCTTTTCTCTTTCAATTTCATTTCTTGGTTTTATGTGTTCTACTTTCTAAAAGATTTTCCTGAACTTTATTTTCTAGTTCTTCTATTGTTTTTTTCTATTTCTGCTATAGAAATTTAATTTCCAAGAGTTTTTCC